CTGCCCCATGCTTCCAATGCCAACACATATGTTCTGAGATGTAGCTCCAACTCCATACCAGTTGTTACCTTATGTGCCATATATGAAATATTTGCTGTTCCTATTGTTTTCAATACATTCTCCAGTTGATCGTCATCCAAATTATCCTTGGTTGTCATCAACAAGGTATGCAATCTGATAAAGTGATGCTTTCTGTCATTGTTATTGGTAATTGATTCTAGGCATTTGATCACCTCCTCCCTCAATTGGATTGCACTCAGGTTTTTGTCCGATTGAATTATATCATCAGTCTCGTTGTCTTCAATTTGTTTACCTTTGCCTTTATTTTTCGTTTTCGAAGATGACGATTTACCGTTGTTCTGACGTAAATAAATGTATAGAATAACATATAGTTACAATCAATTTAGTAAAAATCAATAGACTACTACGCTTGAATTCTGTTTCTCGTTTACAGAATAATAATGAACACATTGTTTCGTATTATTCTAAAACATGTTTGTAAAGTGTGAATTAACTTACTATAGTCTCTGCCATCTCTGCAAATCGCTAACTTGCTCAATGGTATAATTGTTAAACTGCGACGATGCGATGATGGTAAATGTCACACTGACTATACAATCAACCAATCAATACAATGTTTACCGAGATTGGATATGTTGTGACGTTTGTACTATACAGCATTAATACAATACATAAATAATATACATTATGCTAGTTATGAACTTATTTCTTCACTGCCGACACAGTTCCACATGTGTCTTTAATGAATATGTGATGTTTTCAAATAATTTTTGGTATACGCATTTAACAGAGGAATAACTGCTGCGCTGTTTATAGTCATCACTATAAGCAATTCATTCATGCGTTTATAGCTAATATATTAACCATTAAACTGGAGTCAAGGTAATAACGGCTTACATACTGCTTGACAATAATTTATGACACTAAGTTTTTACATGTTTACGTTTAAGGAAATTATTATATTATATGTTCGCCTCAACTGTTTTACCGGTATAAATTTGAATAGACTTTTTTCTCAGTTAATGGCAAAAGCACTTTTAAGAAGTGCCTAACGCCGCCAATTTTATTGCAAAAGACGTCAGATGTGCAGCGAATTGACGATAGTAATAGTATTATCGAATTACCGATTACAAATTCCAGCGATCGTCAGAAAGTTGTTTGTTTTTGTTTGCAACAAGACAACTCTAAAGGGATATTCAAACATGTCAATATTACATCAATCTAAAAGTAATGAACGACAATAGACGAGTCTTTTAATCAAAATAGTTCTTTTATCTACTAATATGCTACTGATCGGTCACTCTATGTATGCAAAGTTCACTGTACAAAGCCTTACCCGTTCTCTAAGATATTTCAAAGCTGACTCGACATCACGAATTCCTTCAAGATCAAACACTTTTGGTGGGATTTTGCATAGTCTTATTTCTTCCAGACGTTTTTGAATCAAGAATTCTTTAAGCCGTTTATCCAGCCTTTTTAATTTATTTATCCGATATTTTATAAATATATTTGAGCTTCCGCTATCTGCATAACCCTCTTCAAAAGTGTTTACTATCTTGCTGAATGATTTTTCCCAATCCTTCAATTCTTGGAGAGAGATGGGATCGTTATTTTCTGATATATCGTCTATGGTGGAAAGAGACGTTCGCATTCCACAATAAGCCAATTTCTTTTCGTAATATAGATAAGCACAATATCGCAGTCCTCGAAGCGTCAGTAACGTTAATTTTTGTCGCAGTTGTAAGCTCATGTCTGATACGTCTGGAGAGAATAGATAAATCAACGAGAAATACCGTGGTTGGAGGTGTAATACACAAATCACGAGTGTAAATATAAACAGTCACATGCTATATAGAAAGTATATACAACAATAACCCACATGACGATAACGCAGAAAAGGCAATCAAGTATATCTGTAAGTGTGAATGGAAAATAATTTATGCTGTAGGTAGAAGTTTCTTGCGGGTAATATTGGCTGTGCGAGTTGAAGAAATTATAGTGATAGAAATAAATTAGTTATAGATAGCAAAGAATAACTCGATGCTGCGACTCGCATTAATGGCCTAATGCATCATACATTTCACTTTCTATCTAAAAATCAGAATCATGTGACTAACACAAGTTCGCGTAAAGTTATTGCCGTGGTTGTTTTGAAATTATATTTTATTAGCGCCTGTCACATAATTTACGATTACAATAATAAATAAGGAAAACGGGCTTTTCAGAGCCGTCACTAATGCCACGATTATTCAATACCGACTTCTTCCAAAATATTTTTCAATGTATTTGGTTCTTTATAGTCAAGATGTCCTTTCGTAAGTTTTGTAACGTCATAATTCTCAACTTTCTCGTGCGCGACTGGCTCTAACCCAGCAACTTTTAAATCGAGAGAGTGCATTCTGTAGACTAATCCAAGCACTATGTCGTTTGTTGCATACGCATTAATTACACGTCGAGAGACGGTTGGACATGCAACAGACCATTGCTCAGACGTTGATGGTATTGGAGCACCAATTAAGACCACTGTTTAAAGATAAAGTGTGTAATGTTGAGAGAGCATCGTTAGAAGAAGAATTGCTAATGAACAAAAAAGGGGCAGATGTGCATATGCTCATCACACATTCAATATAAATACATACCACTATCAACAAGCCCATACATTTGTCGCCTAGCCAGTTCCAACAAACAGTTCCATATTACCAAAGCACCCAAGGAATAACCAACCTAGCATCATAAATGTATAATTCCGAGTTTATAAGCTTCTTCCCTAGATTCGTTCCGACCGATATACGACTCGAAAACACAAACATACCAAAACAACAGGTCGCTTTCCCTGGACCCTTTCACACAATACATCTGCCAACACCAAACCTGCCTTCCCTGCTCTATCCACACCTAATGCCCATGGATTATCGATTAAATCTCCAGCCTTCATCACACCCGCCGGTAACAACAACGCCGTAGTCAACGCTGCAAACACGGTATATTGCAATGCCTGAGACGCGACAACCTTAACAGCCTGCTGCGCAATGAACCTCCTAAATGCAATACCAAGATCCAGTAATATCTCCGGCTCGAATGTCAAGGCAAATACGTCTCGTTGCATGCGGGAAAAAAAGGGAAGCCACGGCTTGGTGATTTCATCTGTCGACTCGAGTAAATATCCCGAGATTGCAATCGTCACTGTGAGAGATGGAATCTGAGGGAGGCAGGGGTCAGGTGTCATTTGAGTGAATCCAAAGACTTTGAGCGATCCCATGCGTTTGTGCATTTTGTATCCGCCTAAGCCACCACCAGCTATTCCGAACAGTGAAGTGATCAGAGCCACAGTAGATGCTGTAGCGACGAAACTAACACCAGCGACTGATGTTACGGCTCCTATTCCGGCTGCTACCAGGGGGGCGGCTAAGTATGACGGAAAAATAGAAATGGAGATGTAAGATTGAAGAGAAATAAGTGGATATATTATAGCGCTGCTGAAAGTCTAATAATGTATCCAGAGTCTGGTTGCCCAATTTCATGCTTACCCAATCCGCCGGTCAGTCCAATAACCGTTGCTCCAACTACTACTCCAGCACCAGTTGCCAACCATTTCAGTTTACTCATTTTTTTCTCCCTTTTTTCTAAATTCCCCGAAGCGCTCGCATGCAAGTCCTTGTGAATGTCACTCTCTTTTTCATCGCTTGCCCCCGGTTTTAATGCCTCTTGCTGCATAAAATACAATTGCTGGGCAATCGACTTTTCAAGGTTTGGAATTAAAGATGGCGAAAGTTCAAAGTATCTTGCGAGACGAAATAGGACAGCTCGAGAGCGGGCATCATAAGTAGCTGGATTGACGGTAGATGTTGCAGAGTCGTCCGAGTTTGAGGAACTAGAAAGTGTGGAGGATTCAGGAGAAGAACTATTTGTTGCGGTGGATTCAGTTAGATTTGCAGAATGTGTATCTGTTGTTGTTTTAAGAAAGTTTGTAACAGTATTCATAGTTGAGGTAGTGGATTTTATGCCTTGTTTTAGTCCTTGCCGCATTCTAGACTTGGAACTTTCTGTGTGTTTGAGCACCTTCTGCGACAGTCCCAAAGATACTAGTAGCAGATCAACGATAATCTGTTCTCGGATATCATTCGAAGACGATCTGAAGTCATTAGCGAGATGCCGTATTGCATGTGAATTGGAATCCGTGTGTTCGTATGGTATTCGTTGGATTAAATTTTGCTCTATTTGCAGAGAATGGGGATAAGAGTGATGATTATTGCAGGATTGGATTAATAAAGTTAGTCGTTTTTGTGCGCATAAAGTAAAATCTGGAGAATGTCTGATAATCAAGATCACCGCCAGCAACAATTTTTAAATTATTCCACCTTTGATGTCATGAATGTCCAAGTGAATAAATATAGCATTTAGAAAATGCTGCTTAAATAATTTATCAGAATAACCCTTTGACCACCATAGTTCGTATAATGCATACGCACAAAGACAAGCTACGTTGAAACGTTCCGTTTGTGTCCATTTGTCGCTAAACGACAGAATTCCGTTTGAGTTATTAGACATTTGAGAGAATGATCGGGAGAGAGAATTTGACGACAGAATTTATTTGCTGTGAATGTCACGTGTAAAATAATTAAACAAATGACACAATCACATGAGAAACCCATTGTTAATACTAATACTGTATAGCTTTGCGTATAAAAAAAATGCCCAGTGCTATCCCACATAGTAAATGTCTTTCGTTACTACATAAACAAGAAATGATGCCTTAAGTAAAGTTGTCGACAACGCTAACCTGCGATCGATTATCTTACGTTTTTGTAGAGAGAAATTTGATATTTAGTGAGACATAGTATGTAAACTCGTACTAACAATTTTTGATCATAGACAACTTGGAAAGTTTTGTCAATAAAGTCTTGGCGTAAAGCTATGTAGATTTTGTATTACGTAATAGCTAATATTATTGCTTGTATAGCGGCAGCGACTCTATCGTATCATTACGCTGCAAATCTACACGTTGAAAGTTGTCAAACGTTTTTACTTAGTCACATAAATAAAACTTTTGAAGTAATAATATTGTTTTTCTTTGCTTGTATAGTGGTACAGTGGCACCTCCATAACCTTGGGACTCGGTATTTGTGTGCACTTATGTCGGTGAGGTGATCGAATATATCTATCTCTTGCACGTGTAGAATATGGAGGGTGTGCATTTATGGAGGGTGTGCATTTATGGAGGTTGCTCTTAGGAGTTGCCACTGTAATTTGATTATTCAATGAATTCTCAACCTCAAGCTATAAAATTTTATATGTTATATATTTTGAGTGTTTTTACTTAGCCACGCAAGATACTTTAAAACAAAACTTTTCCAAGTTGTCTCATGATCGAAGTTTGACGGCCAATGTTGTTAGCACGAGTTTACATGACTGTGCTTCAATATTAAATTTCCCATTTATGAAAACGTAAGATAAATGCGGGTTAATATGCCAATAACTTTACTCAGGCATTATTTCTTGTTTAAGTAGTAACAAAAACGTCTATTATGTGGCAGAAAATTCTCGATTGTTTTCTTGGCCATCGAGTTATCAATGGCAAACCCTGTAAAATTACCGTATATCCAATTGTTTTGAGAAAGCATTATATGATTTACTCGTTTCGTTTCTTAACGTCCCTACGAATAGCATCAACAGATTACTAGGTCGTTTTGTCTATTCTAAAGTTAAGGAGGTTTTCGTGTCAATTTATTTGACAGATATTCAAGAATAGACCATCAAGTTTATGAACCAGACAATCATTTAAATGCTGAGTTCGTTGGCAGAACAAAAAACAAAGGCCCGCTCTTTGTTCACAACTTGTTATCTATTCTACCCATAAAACAATGACTGCTACTATCAGACTTTTCAGGTTGAATACTGTTCGACCAAATATTAATATTTCACCAACAACATTATTTAATCAACTAACAAAATTAACGAAGAAAGGTAGATAAATCTGCATCATACGTAACAGTTCTAACCCCTTGAAAGTTTTATGTTATAGAAAATATAAATTGTGTATAAAAAAAACAAGGTACAAAAAACACACGCCTTAGTTTAGTGTTTTTTCTTTAGTGTTTTTTATATAAATAATAACATCACTCAATATCATCTTGTTGTTTGAATGAACTTTACCGCACTATGGGCAACCAGCAACTAAATATGGTTTTTTTGACATTGGAATATTTGCTGCGTCAGGGGCACAATTAACACGAATATTAACGCATGCCTTTATGCAGCATACGCAATGCGTCCAAACTTCATGAAAAGGTAAATGATAACCGTCTAAATAGACTAATATTACCATTGCTCATAATCATTCGCTGACGACAATAGATAATGCAATTTCAAAGATAAAGCTTTCCTTCAAAAACTACAACAATTTGAACGATTGTATAAACGCATCTATTCTCATTTATGGAAAGATACGCATCGGCAGAAAATGCCATAGAATGTTGCAGAGAAATGAACATCTTGTATCGCAAAGTTCTTTCCCTCAAAAGTTTCAAGTCCATATTCTTACCTTATTGCTTAAGTAAGATTCTCGTGCTCTGTCAATACGCCCAAGGTAAAGTTAAAAAACATTTTAACTTAGTGTGTGTGACATAAACGTTTAGACATTGATCGACAAATTTGGCAATCTCAATCGGTTTCAAATATTTACTCCGTTGACCTTCGAAAAAGACATCAACTTCTTCAAGAAGCTGATACAATAATGCTGTAATGTCGGAAAACAAGAGTTTCCAAAAAGAAACAAACATTCTGTTGCTCGGTGAGACAGGCGTAGGAAGTCGACCTTTATCAATGCCTTTGCAAACTATCTTCAATTTAGGACGTTATACGATGCCAAGGACGGGGAATTGGAGGTGTTAATTACATCAAAATTCACCGCAATGAATGAAAACTACGAAATGAAATTAATCAAGATTGGGGATAACGACCCAAATGAACTACTAGACGGTAAAGGAACGCCATCCACACAAGAGTGTATGGATTATGAATTTGTGATGGGGGACAACACATTAATTCGCTTAATTGATACGCCTGGAATAGGAGATACTAGAGGACCAGACAAAGATAAAGAAAAGTTTGTAAATATTTTGAAGCATATTTCCCATTACAAGCATCTGAATGGCATCTGTATTCTTCTCAAGCCAAATAATGCGCCGTGTTTAGGTTTTGCATACAAGAATTGTTATCACATCTTCATAGGAGTGCCAAGGACAACATTGTCTTTTGCTTTACCAATTCCAGAACGACGTTCTATCGTCCCGGAGAGACACTTGTACCACTCAGGAAACGACTCGATGAGCTTAGGAAAAAATCAGGCATCGAAATAAAAACCAACCGAGACACACTGTATTGTTTTGACAATGAAGCATTTAGATTCCTAGCAGCTATTAGAGGAGGTATAAAGTTTAAGGATAGAGATGAAAGAAGCTTCGCAGAGAGCTGGGAAAAATCGACCGAAGACTCATTCAGTACTTAAAGTTACGTAAACCGCATGAGGTACAAGACACTTTATCTCTCAACAATGCTAGAAATATGGTAGTAGCATTTTCAAAAACTCTTGCAGGAATTGAACAGCTTATCCAGGCAAATATTAGCCTAATAAAAACTCAAAACATTACCTATGATATGAAAATTGTAGAAAAAAAGGTCATGGACCCAAACATCAAGAAGCAGATCGATGAGAACAAGTCGCTTCAAGAACAAAGGAAGCACTGATGGTAGACAGACGAAAGAGAACGGAGCGGAGCAATTAAGAAAACGACAGTGTATGATAAACAGTATTAACATTTAATTTGCAAAATCCCTAAGACAAAGTGCAATAACTCTGTTCAATGATGCATATATGCTGACTACTTGGATCATTTTATAAACCAAGAGAAAATCAAGAAGAGTGCTGATTGCTTTCATTATGATAATGAGATTATCAAAGGGCTTGAAGAGACAAAGAGTGAGTACCTAATGAAGATAAAGAATATTAAAAAAGCATTCAATGATATAGATAGTAATTCTTCTGAACAACTGATCTCGCCAGAAGACATAGAAAAGTTTGCACAACAATTGTATACTCTAGAACTCAATGGTGAACCCTGAAAAATAAAAAAGACATAGTAGTAAGCAGCAGGCTTCCATGTTCTTGGATGAAAGAAATAATTGCTCTATGAGGAGAAAAAAAAGGGGTTTCAGAAAGCATGAATACCGTATGGCACATGATTCCTTACATTTGATATGCATATATTAATATACTGTATGTATACATTTATTAATTTATTTGTTATTGCAAACCTGCTTATTTTCAGGAGCATTCTTTTTTTCAAGAATGTCAGGGTTTTTTGGGTTTGGAGGTATTTTATCAGGAACATGATCATTGTTCACATTGTTACTTAAAAAGTCATGATAAAAAGACTTGCATGTAAGCAATTATGATAGGTTCAGCTGATGCTTTTCAATATCTTGTTGGGTTCCTATAAGTAGAAATTAAAGCACAAAATAAAAAGGAAACACAATGGATTGCCATTGTGAATTTGCTCAAACTGATTTGACTAAAGTTTCTTAATGTATACATTAGGGCAGCTTCATATTGCGGATCCAAAAAAACTAAACTAACTGAATTGCTTTCTAAATTGGTTAATAATTCCAAGGCCATTATAAGAAATGAAGAAGTGCATTATTATAGCGTTCTGATAATGATGTTTTGCGACATTATTATTAATAGTAACACTGCTTTCACTTACTGCAAGATTAAACGGCAAGTCACATGGTAAGCAAAACTCCCATTATCAATGTTAATTTTAGAATGGTAGTCGCGCATTTCAGTGTCAGATGCACCGTGTCGAATTTTGAGTGTCAGGTGCAGAAAATGTTTCGATTTTTGAGTGCCAGCACAAACGCCATTATAATTAGCTAACTTAGAATATGATTGGTTCTTCATAGAAATTACAATTATTTTTGAGTGTCACTAAGGCATATAGGCGACCCTTATAAATTCTCATGTTGTAAATATTGTTCATGTTGTTATAAAATATTGTTCAGATTCTTAGAACAATAATTCTCACTCCACAGAATAATAATAATCAAATAAACTGATTCCCTTTGAAATCGAAACTTTACCTTCTTTCATTGTTGAAATATTAATTATTTGACCGGAGGCTGTAAACGTCCATAATACGGCTGTATAAGTTGTCCGTTGATCTATTACTCTTAATTGGGAAACGAGAGCCAATAATTATTTATTGAAACGAAAATTGTTTAATTAGTTATTTCGAGACAAGTGACGGAACCCGACTAGTCAAAATATCAAATCGAAGAAAGCCCTGAATAGATTTATTTCCCCTTCGATTCTGCGGTAGAATAATTGTTGTTGTTATTCTTATTTGGAATCACGAGCTCGGATAGAGAGTTAGGAAGCGCGCAAATTTAATTATAATAGATAGGTCACTTGTAGATTAGAATTCAATCTTAATTGAACCGTGGCACGAACTGATCTGGTAGTAACCCCCACCCTTGTGTCATTCGTCTATAAAATTATGTTGTCAGAGAGGAGGGGAAAAACTCTGTTTTTTCATCAGTACAATATTTAGTAGTAGAGAGCACTCTTTATTATTATACATACAGTAATGACATAATTGACACATAACATAGTGACACTGTGAACGCGATGGGCAAACGTCGGGGTCTTAACGATTATACGAATCATAATTGTATTAGCCTTTACGTAGAAAGCATCCAACCGTGGCAATACCGTGGGAAAGAGAAAAAAAGTTAGATTACACACCAATATTGTCAAGGTAGAGATTTGTACATGTGACTTCTGCGAGCTGACGCGTCACGATAACCGTATATCTAGACAAATATTCCAACTTTACGTCTTCCTTCTAAGATGCTACTCTAATTTCATAGTACACAGTTATCACCATTCATACAACATAAAAAAAATTCATTTGCATAAACTGTATAAAACTCAAGGGCTGAAAGTCTTACTCATTTAGTATTACACCCCCATGCCAAAAGTATATAGTATACAAGATTTTACTAGTAAAACATATAAAAAATCAAAGTTAATTCTCTATATTTTCTCAAACAAGTACCAAGCTAAATGATTGTAGTTTTAATTGAGAGATATCAGTAATTTTAATATATACTGTTGTGGTGTGAGGAGGAGATGAAAGCTTCACTCACCTACATGGGACTGACCAAATGCAAATACTGTTGCGGTCGGTGTATTCTTTGGGTGGGAGAGCCAATGATCTGTCGCGTAGGTGTGTTCACCGACAGGGGG